ATCGTTTCCCACTAACGATGAATATATTTTCACAAGGTTTCGGTGTTTCTCTTCTTCAATGTCAACAGCGCCCCAACATCTTTAGGTTGTCGGCTGCTTGTTATAAATCGGGCCGTGAATTGCTTGGCAAGCTATGCCCAACCATCGACCAAGCCCCTTGGCAGACTTTCAAATCATTTCATGGCTGACTCTCCAAGGCTGTTGGGAAAAATGGTACAGAGCAATGGTTCATTTCTCTGATAAATGGCCATGAGTTGTTGGTAATGTCAGATTTGTGAGGTCGAATATGTCTTACCGTCATATAGCTTTAAGCTCAGGACTGTGAATTTGCTCGAGATCTATCTCCGTTCAATCCATCTGGTGAAGGGGGAGGACTCCGTACTGTCTCTGTATTCTCCTGTAGCTCTTCTAGCTAGGTCCCTAGCTGATTTTTGTTCGGTTCTTCTTAATCGGCTATTGAGTTCTTTGGTTATGAATTGCTTCCAAGAGTCCTCGTCTTGGCTTCGACGTCTTTTTTACCTATACTCTTCTTCAACGACATTCTCTCATTCACTTTGCTTTTTCTCGGGACTCTCTTGTCGATCTTCTCTATTACGCCTCTTTTTCTTGGTCATTTCCTTTAGTCTATTTTTCAATTCCTCATTTTCCTTCCTCAAATCTCTCTCTCTGGTGTAGGATTTCTTGAACATTCTATCATGTGCATCCAGTTGGTCCTGCAAGGACTGAACTAGCTTCGCCAGAGCAAGGTTCTCCCCCTTGGTACAGAGGGATTCGCCCTGATTGGCATCTCTTTGGCTCTGGTGCTTATATGGCTTGAAATTTGCTAAGGACAACTCGTGATCCTCATGTGGCTTGTCGGGGCTTTGGTCCATGTCCATCCTAATGTCGTTATTGGATGGGAATGATACTTTGTAGTTTGGGTTAGAATCCTACGGAGCGATACTGCCTACAGGAGACCTGATGGCACTCTTCAGTGTCGACATTGGCTTTTTGTTCTACTTGATGAATGTTTTCCCACAGACGACGCCAAATTTAAGAGTCGAAAAGTTGGTTTACCTCTCACAAGAGTGAGTAAAGGATGCCTCTCACGCGAACAGGTTTGTAGCTTGATCTCCAAGTCTTTCGCTTCTACGAAACGAACAAACTGCCCAAGATTGAAGTGCTTCAATCGAAGATACTCCGATGCTTAAGTCAGTAATGAAAGTACACAACTTATGAAAAGGAAAGGAGAATTCAGCGTACCTTTTACCTTGACACCTTGTGCTCTTTATAGAGCTTCCTCCTGCTGGGGTTTGCATGATTTTCGATTCAAGGTGGCATATCTTCCCTTATTCAGGTGATTTTGTTAGGAAGTTGCTGGAATCTCTCTAGCAATTTTCCCCTACCCAGCTGATGATCGTGCCCATTTATTTTACCAGAATGCCTTAATCATTGGCATCTTTTTAGTACCACGTTTTTCTGAATAGCTCGGTCTAGCCAGAGCCGAGTTCATTCCTTTACTACCGAGCTGTTTGAACAACTCGGTCATGACAGTGTCTACTACCCTCTTCATGTGCTTTATCTTTCTTCCCTCACGTGAGGGCATTAAATGCCTCTTCCACGTGTCAGCAAGAGTGCGATGCCTCTTCAATTATTATTACTTTGGTCCGAAGCCACTCGTCCTCCCAAGGGTTCTACTAGCATCAATGGGATTCGAAGGGGCTCGGTCTGACCTTCTCATGGATTGAATACTCTCAGTGGGGATCTCTGTTTGTTCAAATGTCACTCGGTGATAATAATTCTGGTTCATGTTCCATCACTTATAGACAACATTATTAGAACCGGACTAGATTGATCAGTCAAATTGGTGAAACGGTAAACTGAAACCTAAACTGGTCTAGTTTACTTAAAAGACCGCTTGTGTGATTGAACGGCGGACAAATCGACCGGTTGCGGCCAAAAGCGTTGAACCATACGGTTCAAATCTTAACGCAACAAAAAAAATTAAAAACTCATTTCTTGGGGCAATTTTGCCCTAGGATCAGACATAAAGGGTTGGCTATGTCTCTCAGTCATCGCTCAAAATTGCATCCTTATTAACGTATCATTAAAACCTTGAGAAATTTACTTCTTGATCACTCTCTCTCTCTCTGTAATTTCTCTCTGTCTGCAATCCCATGGTTATGGCGGGCATGCTGCATAGTTGGTTACTTGGCTTAACCATTTTTCCTAGGTAACTTAGTTTAGTCATTTTAAATTCTGCACTTAGGTTATTCATTTTAAATTCTGCATGATGTCATAGAATTGACGCATGCGCTTACAAGAGCCCCCACTTTAGCTACGGGGAGAGAGAAACTCTTGAAACATAACTTCGATAGTATTTGTTGATTTTATACGCCGAATAATTAATATAAATAATATTTGTTGGTATTTAATCATCTGATAATTGATTAACATTAATATTTGTAATCAGAGTTATGTAATCAATTACCAGATAACCACATACCCATCTTGGTATACCTTATCTACATTCATGGACCAAAAATATATATTGATGTATTATTCACTGAAATTTGATCATCTGGTAATTGATTATATAATACACATCCCTATTTATAAGGATAAGTAGGAATGTATTTTATTTCTTATTTATTTAGTATTAATTTATAATTAAAGTTTTAATGAGTTTAAGAATTTTGACCCATTAAATATTCTAGTTAGATTGCCGTAGTTTTATTAAAGATTGAATAGGATTAGAGTTAGTATTATTACTTTCTTTTACAAAGTGTTTCTTTATCATCTTTGGCAGGACCTTTTCTAATAGGAAGATTGGTTTTGGTTTGACGTTTGGTTTCGTCTTCTTCTCTTTTGTATCTCCTTCAATAATTTTTTATTTATTTTTATTAATTCTTGGTGTATATGAGATCTTTGAGTACTTAATATTATTTTGAGATTCTACATTTAGTATCAGAATAATATTTTAACAAGTGATATCAGAGTTCTGTTTCAACAAATGGTATCAGAACAATATTCTAACAAAAATACTGTAACTCAAATCTATTCAGATACAACTTGATCTTTATGTTTTCTTTCACAAATTCTTATTCATGGTATATTAAAACTCTTCTAATATAATCATATTCCATATAAGATTCTTACATTAATTACCCAACAAACTCTCCTCCGTAACAATTAAAGAAATTGAGTCAGAACCAATTTTTGAGAGAATTATCCCACTAACTTCCTTTGTGTGGGACGTATGGGGCCCGACTTTAGTATTTGTTTAATTAACTATTTTTGACCAAATTTAATTAATAAACTTATCTGATATGTTACTGGAATGTATAGGTGTAAAGGTCTGTTGTGGCTTAAAGAATGGAATTATTTTTTAGTGCGTTGGCTAGGTTTGGTCAATTATTTTGTATTAGTAACACGCTCATGTATCAATTATAAACGCGCTTATAATGCATTTATAATGGATTGTTATGAGTTGAATTAGTTTTAACTTAAATATGACATAACATATTATCAATATTAGTGATGACTTCTGCATATAAAAAACGAACTTAAATTTTCAGGTTTATTATTTCACCAAGAAAAAATAATTGTAATTAACGAGCCAAACTAAATTGAAATAGCATGAGTGGAGTTTACAAGAAAATTAACGAGCTAAACTTGGACATGATGCTTGAAGCTCATCATCCAAACACTTTTTCCATGCGATTGAATGCCCAAACAATCTAATGTTTTGTTAGGTTTAGTTCATTTCATTGGACGAGCTGGGTCAAACTAAACTAAACTGAGCAAGTATGAGCAGAATTTAAGAGAAAATTAACAAGTCAAACTTGAACAACATGTTTAAAGCTCATCATTCAAACACTTTTTGCGATTGAGCCCCAAATAATTTATGTTCTGTTAGGTTAAGTTCATTTCCAAACATGTACATGAACCTTGCCTTTTGTATTAGTAATGCCAAGTCCAAGATAAGATCTATTTACAAATTAAAGAATTTATCTGAACTCATTGTAAATGATTTATTGGTGGATGAAATTAAATAAGTTAAATTGATTGTGACAAGTTAGTGAAGACTCCTAGAAGGACGACAACAGCGTTAGATGCTGTCCCAACGGTAGAAATAGCATTTGTTCGTCAGGTAATGAATAAAGTGATGGTGACAATTTATTTAAACCACCACTTTACTTAACCTGACGCGTAAAGTGGTTTGGTGATTATTATATTATTTGTTCATAACTTTTTCAAAACCACCTGTATAGGCAATTTGGAGTCAACAAGTTACCGCCTATCACTATGCATTTGAATTTCATTTAATTCACATTTCAAATTCACATTTCATTTGAACTTACATTTCATTTACGTTTCTATTAATCTTTCATTCGCTTATCATCCTTCAACACCAGTCTTTCATCTCATGCATTCCACTAACTATTTATCCATCAATTTTATACCCATGTACTCCTTGTTTGTATTGGTATATTTTTTTAATTTTTTTAATTTTTACATACACATTGGTTATTATATTATAAAGAATTTATTTATTGGAATAGTTTCATTGGCATTGTGTGCAAGTGCATAATCGACACACTTCAATAAAAAAATTTACACATTCAATACTTGGAATTTTGATTCTTAGTTCATTATATGCCATGAGAGTCAAATTTTGTATTTTTATTTTTTTGAGATTAATATATAGGAATGTGTACACAATTTTGTATGTATATAATTTTACAATGCACATACTATCCATTTGTCAACCAACTACTTTGAATTAAAGTGAAATGAATTGAAAACTAATATGATCTTACTCTTTTATTGGATTCAAAGGAATGAAACTTTTTTGGTAACATCATTTCTACTATTTGTCATAGTTTTCTCAAAGAATTATATATTATATATATTGTACGGACATGGAAGAATATATATCAAGTCATTCTCCCAGTGTAGAATGGAATGACGAAAACAATGAGAATGAAAGAGGAAAAAATAAAAATGAAGAAGAAAAAATGGAGGAGCCTAAGGTTGGGATGTTGTTTAACTCTATTGATGTAGTCATGGAGTTTTATACGAGATGTGGGAAAGAAATGAGTTTCGCCGTGTCTAAAAGGATCTCTACAAAAGGAGACTATGGGGAGGTAAGATATGTTACTGTTGCTTGTACTCGTAATGGAAAGTCTTGGAGCATATCAAGTAACCCCCTTAAGGTTCAATCGATATCAAAAACAAATTGCAAAGCAAAGCTTAGGGTAGCTCTATGCCTCGGTGGAAAATGGAGAGTGAACTTCATAGTAATTGACCATAACCATGGTTTGAGTCTAGACAAATCTCGATTTTACAAGTACAAAAAGACTTGAAATTAATGATAATGTCAGAATCAGAATGAACAACAATTTCAATTCATTTGTGCTTGAGACGCCGGGGGGGGGGGGGGGGGTTATGAAAATCTCTCATTTCTAAAGAAGGATTGCAGGAATTATATTGATAAAGTTAGAAGTTTACAACTTAGATAAGGAGATGCCACCGCACTTCAGAATTACTTTTTAAAAATGCAAACTGATAATTCCGACTTCTTTTATATCATGGATTTATATGAAGAAGGTCGGCTAAGGAATGTACTTTGGGTAGATGCAAGGAGTAAAGTGGCATGCAAAGAGTTTGGTGATATAATTACATTCGATACAACATATTTGATGAACAAGTATGACATGTCATTTGCACCTTTTATAGCGGTGAACTATCACAGACAATCAATATTGTTGTTGTGTGGATTGATTTCAAGTGAAGGCATAGATACATTTACATGGCTATTTCAATCTTGGCTTACATGTATGTCCGGATGTTCTCCCCATGCAATAGTTACAGATCAATACAAAGCCATACAAAAAACAATAGAGATTCTATTTAAAGTTAATAGACAAACGAGTAACAGTGACGTTAAATTTAAAGTTAATAATTTCTAAATATAAACACCAAATGAGAATCAAGTGAAAAAAAAATAATACCTAGGTAACAATTTAATTAGAATTTGTGGGACAAAAGATTGAGTATTGAGAAATGTTAAACAAATAAATGGTGAAAGGTTACGGGATAGGTAATGCAAATTCAAAAGAAATATTACTAAATAAAATAATTTCGGAACAGACATGGTAACTCTCTCAAGCCTTTCATACTCTTGGTTTCCAAAAAGTGATGAACAAATGATATAATAATCACCAAAATGGTGGTGTAAATAGGTGGTCACCATAGCATTTGGTTAAAAAATTACATAAATGAAGTACAATTAGTATTATTTTTAAATGACTACTCGGACAAACCCCGACCTGATGTAGGAACGAAACTATATAATATAAACCGAGTTTAGTGCCAAGGCCTCACTATAAAGATGGAAATAATGCAGTAATACCATACCTGAGATCAACAACTCTGGTAAGGGACAGAGTTACTGGCATCCTGCTATGGACGCCTCCTCCATTTCTTCATCTGATATGTACTTATGATTTGTTTTCATGTCATAACTTGAGCTTTTCTGTCTTCTGCAGGAAGTGGTATTTATCGATGGCCCAAACAGCAAGAACAACCTTCCTTCACCGCGGATGGACAAGCTTCTCTGGACATTTTAACGCTGCCTCTATTGATATGAGATTCAATGTCACAGAAGGCCAGCGTACTTCCCCTTCACGCCATGCCATTCTCACCTTTATTGTTCCGGTAATCATCAATCTCCAGCAATTGAAGTTTCAAGGAAAGGACAAAACTCCATTTGAAACCCACCCAAAAACCATGGGGTTTACCATTACTAGTTTGCTCCTATATAGTGTCTTGTCCGAAGCAAAGCCGAGGTTATCCTCTCCAACTTATGCCACTATTGTTCACCATGGTATGGCGTTGTTTGGTTTCTTGTCATTGGCATCTCTAGCATCAACTCTGTTCCCAGACTCGGTTATGCCGGTTCTATATGTGGTGTTCATCATGCTTTCAGCAGGTGGACTGCTACACTTCTTTTGTTGGACGGTAATGGGGCAATCAGTACAATCAAGCCTTCCAGTTCGGTCCATGTTATGCCGCTTGACCGATTCACACAGGGGCAGAGCACATGCCTTTATGAATGAGAGGGATACACTTCCAGTGTGAAAAAATTAAGCCATCCCCGGACAAGCATAGATGGATCTCGGCATCAGATAAGCCCAAAATCAAAAGACATAGTAGTCCTAAAGTGTGTTATAAAATGTGGCAATAAGGCTAATGTTTGAGAACAAATATGCATGTTTTTCATCGAATTATATGTATCAAATGTTTGATATAATGATAATATAGTAGGGATAATTGCCAAGAACTATCTCAGATTGCTGAAAAACTCCTACATGCGGACGGACAGATGAAACCAAAAATAGAGAGAACTAACTTGTCAAAACTGTTAGGCCAGCTGATAGTTCTATATGCACGTGGATTCTTGTCAAGGAATGGCCACCGGATCAAGTGTAATCAAATCAAGATCCAATAAACTTGATATTAAGGAGATTACTGTTGACTGGTTAGGGTCAAGTGGGTTACCACAGTTTGCCAGGGAACGTGTACCTAGCCCTTGTTTTTTTTTTTTCTTACTATAGGGTGTATAAATTTGTGCCGATTATTCCCTCTAACCCAGTGATTTTTTTTTCTTACTATAGGGTGTATAAATTTGTGCCGATTACTTTCTCTAACCCAGTGATTGACCACCATAACTTGAGTAAGTCTAGAACATGTCCCCAAATGGACAATGGTGGCTAGCCCATAAGGAGTAATGAAAATGTATTGAATTAAAAAATTTTGGGTTACCAAAAAATAAACTCAACCACCGAACCATGCCTAAGTGTTTATTAGCCCATGTTACTGGTTTTATGAGTATATAAAACAGGACAATATTTTTGGCTTTGAGAGGTGTATCGGAAACATTTTTTGCGATTACTTTTCACTCAATGAAGGCAATATGTCATTGTTTGTACACTCAAGATAACCACCACTACTTACCCAAAATATATATATATATATATATATATATATATATATATATATATATATATAAGATAACCACCACTACTGGTGTTGCCAGCAGTAGAACGGGGGGCACGGGTCCACCATGAAAGGTTTTTAAAAAATATTTCGTATACATATTTGAATTATTTTTTAGGTATTTTTAATTGTACACACACTATATTTTTATTATTCTATAAATTTGTAAAAATTCATATCTAAGTCACTAGATGTTTGGACACTTCGGACACTCTACAGACACATCAGAATAAGTTGTGGACATGACAGACTTCTTTTACAATTTCTTTTAAGCTGTAAAGATTGTGAATGCTATGTTACATAAATGAAAAAGGCATCAATGGATCACTGATAGTGTGATTGTTACATAGGGAAAGACATTTGTTATAAAATTGATAATGTAGTTGTACTATAATATTTCTAACTATGAAACCTCGTCGGAGTCATAATAATTTTTTTTTTTTGTTCTTTGTTCATAAATATATCTAATATTATAAATATAAAGTTGATTCTAAATTTATAAAAGTACATCAACGATCAAGATTAATTTATTTTTCGTCTATTTTGATTCAATAGTATAAAATTCATTCCAAAATTTTTCCCTCTTAAAAACATTATTGTCTCTACATGGCCTCCAATATCAAATAATTCAATCAACACTTCCCAATACACAACTTCCCTAATCTACATCTACCTCTATATCCACCTATTTATTCTTTCTTTTTCTCTCTCTCATATCTCTCTATTCATTTTAACTTTGAATTGTGTAATAAAAATATAAATATTGTATGACCCATATTCGATTTTTGGTATTACAGAGTTTGTTCAAGCGGGTTATAGCTAGTCTTATATATGCCGACATTTGGCCTTTTGTATTAGATGATTTTTTTTAATATCAAACATAATACAACAAATTTGAATATGTTCTTCTATTTTTATTAATGGAGAAAAAAATTATCGAAACCCGACCAAATTCAGCCTCTAACACTTGGGCTATATATATAAGCCCAGCCGACCATGATAGCAAGCTATGCGTATTTTTTATCGCATTATATGTATCTATGTGTTTGATATAAAGATAATATTGTAGAGAATAATTGCACAAGAACTATCTCATATACATGAAAAAACAGTCTCACAATGAAGCAGAAGACAATTCTCAATTTGATGATTCTAACCACAAATACTAAAACTACATACCCACTCCTAAAAGATTGAGTGCATTAACCCTAAAAGGACGAATATTGTGTTTTAACAGCAGCAGATCAAATAGAAACTTAATGAACAAAATCTTCTTAAAAAAAAAAAAAAACACTTTTTCCAATTCCAAAGCCTAGCGTCTCTGTCATCTTAATCCATTCTTTTGTTGAGAGTCTGACATTTAGGCAAGAATGAATCATAGGCACATCAAGTGTTCACATGTTTCCAAGTAGTTCTTATTCTCCCTTAACTTTTTAACTTTTCTCCGACACAAAAAAGATCAGTGTAATCTCACACTTTCTCACAATCAAAACTCTACATCAAACAACACTTCACAAGCTTTCTCTTTTGGTAAGTCATATGGCAACCTTACACGACCCTAGTTCTCTCATGCAGCCAACAAATAGTGCTTTTTTTTTTCAATAATGTTGCACTGACCAAATTTTGGGACAAATCAATAACTTAAATGACATGGCAGCTGACTTGAGCTTCTTTATTTGGTGTCATATCATTTGGACCCCAATAAAGACTTCAAATAATATGTTGTTATGTCATTTGAGTTATTTATTTGGTCCCAAAATTTGGTCAACGTAACATTGTTTTTTGTTTTTTTTTGTGGGAAAATTATACAAAACAAACCAGAGGTTTGCATTTATTGCACTTCGCCACCCATAGGCATCCAATAAAATAAAATAAAAACTCCATCCAAAATGGCTAACAAAACAAACTAAAAGAAGTCCTCTTATTCTACAAGATTTCATATAATAACAGATCAAAGTAGAAAAAATAGGGATAATCACCCACTTTCTTTCAACAATACTAATTAAACAGATTTGATTTTTGTCAAAATTGAATTATTTGTGATTGACACAAACTCTCATAATCGTGTCAGAAACTAATCAAACCCTAACGCACTTACAATATTGTGATTGATCATGAATAATTTCAGACAATTATAAAATAACTCTTAAAAAGTCAAACTTTATCTTTAAGATATGTATTTGTTATGATCAATCAAAATATTTTACAATAAATCCTAGCCTTTTGAGTTATAAATTAGATAATTTAAAATTATAGCTTAGACTCTTAAAAAATATAGTTTAATTTTTAAAATCTATTACTTTATAGATACCTCATTTGTGACCATAATTATTGCCTTATTGTGACAAAAAGTAGTAATCCCTTTTAGCTTTTGATGTAACAAAATATGATCAGATCCTATTAAGTGACACGTGTCTTTGTGCAAAAAAAGTAGAACTTCCATAGCTTTTTTTTTTTTTTTTTGAGCTAGGAACTTCCATAGGTCGGTGGAGAATTATTTAGGTTCACCTGACGCTAATTTGCTTTTGTCAAACAAATAAAAATATCAATGGACTAGTGGTATTTTAATTATGTTACGAAATTTTATAATTATGTTAGATTATTTAGAATTTTGAATTATGTTGGTTTGGGTTTGGGCTCGGGCGGGGGTGGGGGCGAGGGTGAAGGTAAAGGACAGGACGGATATGGAGATTAAAAATTTATATGCGGACGGAAATAGGAATGAAAACTATATCTGTCAACGGAGGTGGACCGAAGATAGACGAATTTTTTTTAAGCAGGTACAGGGATGGAGACTACACCCTCTACCCCCGTTTCGGTCTACATTCATCCCTATTACAAAGAATGAATTTAAAATGGTGCACACTGATAATGCACAAATCGGTCTCGTACAAGATTAACAATCAAGAATATGAATAGAGGTAATCAATGAACAATAAACAGACAAGTAATGGTAAAGCGGTAAATAAAGAGCTAACACAGGGATTTATAGTGGTTCAGTCCGGGTGATCTACTCCACTCTCGGGAATGACGGCGATGACGTGAGTCTTTTATTAATAGGTGAAATTGCTGGAGAGAGTATTCTACAAAAGTATTACAGTGCTAGAGAGGAGTGTGTCTAAGGGGAGGTGTAGCGATTTCAGAGTCGTGCCCTCAATGTTGAGAGGCGTACATTATATAGTTAGGGTAAGACGGTGACGTGAGTGAGAAGTTTTTCACAATTTTAGTAAGTACAATCTTAGTAAGATTAGATCTCCATATCCCGATATTCTCTTGCGAGTGTTCCTATTTCGTCGAAAAATGATCATGAGCTGGACTGAGTTTAGTCTTGTCCTTGAACTTGAATCGGAGTAGGCTTGGACTTGCGTTGGAGTCAAGAGGATGTAGGAGGACAAGGGGCAGCCCTGGGAGGCGCCCCAAGTGCTTGGGCATTGGCTCTTGGTGCTTTGGGTGCTGGCCTCTTGGGCACTGGACGTTGGTCTCTTGGACGTTTGTCTCTTGACGGATCAGCCCAACTTTCCTTGGGCTCTCTTTTGGGTCCTGATTATTCAGGCTTCTCGGTTTTTTTTATTGGGTTTAGCCCAGTCAAATTCAGGCGCATCACACACTAGTAGGAAATTACAGGGAAGAATGAAGAACAGTGCACAATTGTAGGAATTACTGAAAAAGTTCATTTGCAATTAATCTAGTACTGAGAACTTTAGAGAATTCAAAGAAAGTTTTATTTCACTGTAATATGATTGAGTTAAAATCTAATAAGAAAAAATTAGGGTAAATTACAATCACTGCCCCTATAGATTAGTCTAATTACAAAGACATCCCCTCAATTTTTTAAAATATCACTAACCTCTCTTGTTAGGTTTTGTCTGATAACGGTGGTGACTAGAATTACACATTTGCCATTGCGTAGTATCCATTTTTACGTATTACAAGACATCATCACACATCTTTTTTTCTTGGAAAAAAAGGAACTAAAATTTATAAGAAAAAGATAATAAGAAAACACTCAGGTTCTCTTGTTCACACAAGCTCTCTCTCTCACACACGCGCGGTGCCTTCACTCCTCCAATGCTACCCCCAAC